ATGTTATATCAAAATCATTGTTTGGTCTAAAATGGACAACATAATATATATATATTTTGTATCTTAGTGTATAAATACTTAAATTCATAATATTTTATGTATATAACTTAAAAATATTTTTTATATTAACTTATTAAACATATTTTATTATTAACTTAATTTAATTTTTTTATTTTCATTTAAAAATATATATTTTAGTTTAAAATTTATTTAAAGTTACGATTAAATTGAGAGAATATATAAATAATAGAAACATTATACAAACTATCAAGTTTATCAATATTACCCTATCCAAATTCAAATTACTGTAGACCATCTTTACCTCAATCGAAGTCATCGCACGATACTCGGTCTTCCTTTGCACTTCATTTTCAGTTCATCTTTCGTTGATTCTTTGTTGGCTTCAACCAAAGCCACCGTCCTTTCCAATTCTCCTCCGTTTTCTCCTCAGCAGAGACTGAAATTCACAACTCCCAACACTCCTTTGCATCAAGTAAGTTCTTTCATTTCTCTCTCTTGTGTTTGTTCTGGATTTCTTAAAAAAATAAATGGGAACTGCAGGATCAGCTTTTGTTCACTAAGCATATAGGGTTAATTATAGGTGGCATATGAGGAAGTTGTGCAAGCATGCTATACGTTTATGAATCCCCCCTCGCCTGTTAACTTGTGATCACCTTTTTTTCATTATCTTACACACATGTATGAGCTGATTGCAATTACATGACTAATGATTTGTTTTTTTTAAGTGTAACTTTATTTTATGATTGAATCGATGGATTCGATTCTCGACCTGTTTTTTAATTTTTGTTAATAAATTATTTTAGCAATTCCGTTATTATCATTTTCCTCACCCAGGCAGTTGGTTCACTTTGCTTCCTGAAAAGGCCTCCTAGTTTATCTGGTATGGAAATTGCGAGCTTTGTGTTAGGCGCTCTCTCTTTTTTGTCTGATTTCCGCGCAACAACAAGAGGGAACCACATCTTCACCCGTCGTTCCAAAGGGATATAACATCTTTGAAAACTGAGAAAGAAAAGCTTATGGAGCTGAGGGACGATGTGAGGACAAGGGTCGATATTGCCTTGCGGCAACAAATGCATTGCAGGAAGCAAGTAGATGGATGGTTACGGCGAGTAGAGGAGCTGGATGCTGGACTTGAGACGGTTTTACGTCGAGTAGAGGAAGGAGAAAGGGAGACTCGTCAAAGAGGTTGCAGCAGCTACTTCTATCCTACAAGTTTGAGGTCTCGTTATAAACTTGGGAAGAAGGCACTTAAAAAATTGGAAGAAGTTTCTGATTTGATGAAAACGGGGGAAAATTTTGGTGATGTAGCTGACATGTTGCCCCCGCCCTCGGTGGATGAGATGCCTCTCAACGATACCATAGGCATGAATTCGAATTTTAGGGAGGTTTGGAGCTACTTTTGTGATTCAGGAGTGGGAATCATTGGCATATATGGTATGGGGGGCGTTGGCAAAACCACTCTCTTGACTAAAATCAACAATGAACTACTAGGCAGAGTGGGTCAAGATTATGATGTGGTGATATGGGCCGTTGTGTCAAGGGGTCAGAACATAGAAATGGTCCAGGATACAATTGGACGAAAACTAGGCTTCCCTGATGACATTTGGAACCGCATGGGGCAATTGGAGAAAAGAAATTCCATCTTCAGGGTGTTGAAAACGAAACGATTTGTGCTGTTGTTAGATGATGTATGGGATGTTTATGATCTTACAGAAGCTGGTGTTCCCCTGCCAAGTGAACAAAACAAGGCCAAAGTAGTACTAACAACACGACGAGAGGATGTATGTGATCTCATGCAGGCACAGAGGAAGTTCAAAGTGAATTGTTTAGCGCGGAGGGAAGCATGGAGATTGTTTATAAGCAAGGCAGGAGAAGAAGTACTACAGTTGGACCCGGCTATACTCGAACTAGCAGTAATGATTGTAGACGAATGTAACGGTTTGCCACTTGCTCTCATAACCGTTGGACAAGTCATGCGCAGCAGAAGAACCGTTGAAGAATGGCATCATGCGGCCACCACATTGAGGAAATCTGCTGCCGAATTCCCAAGTATGGAGAAAAAGGTGATTTCTCTACTACAGTTCAGCTTCGATAGCTTGCCGGACGATACTACTAAATCTTGCTTCTTGTACTGCGCACTGTATCCTGAAGATTGGTATTTGGATAAAGTTAATCTTATAAACAGTTGGCTTGGAGAAGGACTTTTGGAACAAAGTGACAATATATATGAAGCTTATGATAAGGGTCACCATATTATTGGCACATTAAAGCTGGCATGCTTGTTGGAAAGTGGTGAATCTATCGACGATCACTATATTAAAATGCATGACATTGTTCGAGAAATGGCACTGTGGGTAATTTCCGACAAGGGAGCTAAGAAGGGGAAGTTTTTTGTGCAAGTGAATGTCAAATTGACCAAAGCACCAGCAATCCCAAAGTGGGAGAAGGCTGAAAGAGTATCTCTGATGAACAATTCAATTGATCAACTAATAGGATCACCTAGGTGCCCCAATCTGTTGACTTTGAATCTTCGATGGAATGATTTGCAAATGATCTCAAATAGCTTCTTTGATTTTATGCCTTCTCTTAAAGTTCTGGACCTATCTTTCAATAAACATTTAGCAGAGTTGCCCAGAAACTTTTATGAATTGGTCTCCTTGCAACATCTTGACCTTTCTTATACAAGTGTTAAAGAGCTGTCTCTGGAGTTGAGAAATTTAACCAAGTTGGAGTTTTTATATCTCAACAATATCGATGAACTTGAGATTCTTCCACAACAGGTTCTATTGAATCTGTCAATGCTGAAAAGATTGGACTTGTTCCATTCTGGTATTTCAGATCAAGTAATGGATGGGAATGTCTTTCTGGAGGTAATGAACTCTTGATGGATGAACTTTTGTGCTTACCCGACCTGCAAGCCTTAACTTTCACCATAAAAAGCGAGGATGGCTACAAAAGATTTTTGAGATCAGACAAATTGCAGAAGGTCACATATGGCCTTGACATTGAGTTATGCAGAGGTACTACTATTCTGAGACTTCAGAGTGGTATGAGATTGACATGGATTCAAATCGGCAATTGCTTTGATTTGGAAGAAGTGGCTATCGAATGGATTCGAGGATCCTGGACTCCATGCAACAACCGGAATTTAAGTGCAAAATGTTTGGTACATCTTCGTGTCCTAGTAATCAATAACTGTAACGTTCTGTTACATCTGAATTGGCTTGTTTGGGTCCCAAATCTCAAATCTTTAGAAATTGTGAGTTGTGAAGCAATGGAAAGAGTTATAGGCCATGGTGATGCTGGAGGAGCTGAAACAACAGAGGAAAGCTCGGTTTTCTGCAATCTCCAGATTCTAAAGCTTACTGACCTACACCAGCTGGAGAGTATTTGCAGCCATCCTTTGTGCTTTGCCTCTCTGCGTGCCATCCATGTGCTTGACTGCCCAAATCTCAAGAAGGTCCCATTTCATGCCAACAGTGCCAAACACAAACTATATAGTATTTCAGGACAGGAAGCATGGTGGAATGGATTACAATGGGATGACATGATCATAGAATCCACTTTTGCCCCTTACTTCCGGAACTCTGATTCTTCGGACAGACCATGATCTCGTAGTTCGGGTTTCTCAGGCATATTCCCTATGGTTTACAACTAATTTGCTTTAACTTAACTTTGGACCGCTGCTCTCCTACTGATTCTCTTCCATTTTCTTTTTCTGAACTGCCAGTGATGTGTTCCCTTTCACCTTACACTACTGCTTCTGATGAAAATCTCCAGAAATTGAAGTGTAAATCAAGATCCCTTGAGCCTGATGAAGCTCTGGGTTTTTTCAACTCCATAATTTCGTAGGACCCTGCCAAATGAAATCCCTTGAGTTCTCGGATAATAAACAGCGTGCTTCAACTAAATGAAATCCCACCACCGAAATGTCGGTATGTGGTGGAGCCTCCGATTGACAAACAACTGTTGCAGAATCACATTCAATAATCACATGCGCAAAAGCCAATTCCATCTCTAACCGAACACCTTGAGTGAGGGCATGTGCCTTGGTAATACCAACACCGGGATGGCCATGAAAAGGAGCCGTATGGCCTGCAAGGACCATGCCATTACAATCACGAGCATGAAAACCAATCACCGGGACCCCAGAAGCCAGTGGACATGCACCATCGACGTTGATTATAACAGTATGCAAAGGAGGTTTCACCCGAAGAAGACTGTTGTGAGGAAGACGCCAGTCGCCAGGTTAGAGGATGCTGCAGCATAGGCAGTCCGCAATGCACTGTTTATGTTTAATACAAGTAAAAGAGGATTGAAAAAGCCATCATTAACATGATTGAGTTAATGAATCATAAAGATCTAAAACCGGACGTTTTCATGTACAACTGTTTGATACATGGGCTTTGCGATTCAAGTAAATGGACAGAAGCCACAAGTTTGCTGAATAGAATGGTAAACAGAGGAGTCCATCCTAATCTGGTGACCTTTTTAATCAATGTGTTATGCAAGGGAAAGAGGACTGGACAACTCTCATCAGGACGGAAGCAGAAATTATAAAATTTTAGACGAAAATATATTTTCAATTGAAAACATAAATGAAATATTTAAAATATATAAGAATTTAAAAGTTTTAGAAAGGTGATTGCTCTTTTTCACTCCTCTCGGTCCATCCTTGGTTCTCATCACCGTTGGCCAAGCCAAACCAAATTCTTTTTATTGTAAAATTGTATCATTCATCCTCTGTAAATTTTAGAAAATAGATTTAGGGTTCTAAAATATCATACGTCAACAAAATAACACGACCGAAACTCTATAGATTTAAAGTTTTGGAACAGTGATGTCAAAGCTTTTTTTAGTTTGCTTGGACATTAGCTTTATCTATGCTCCAATGCAATCTGAATCCCACATCACTACCATGTTATAAACAAAATGTAAGCTCATACATATAAAGATGAAGCATAGTCCAACTTTGAAATATACTTACCTGGACGGAGTCAATGAACGATAAAAAAAACTCATGGCCTAGGGTAGTGACCTACATTGCACTTGATAGGGGTGCTGCTCTAAGGTCTCCTCAATAGAGAGAGCCTACGTCATAATTTGTGGTAGAGGGGACTTGCATTCGCGTTAAAATATTTCTTATATATAAGTATTTTTCTTCCCTGGTAAAACACTTCTTATATTTAACTATTTATCTTCCCTGGTTGAATGCTTGGCTTGTAGGAAAAAGATCCCTCCAGTTCTAATTTCTGAAAGAGTATGCAATCCGGAAAATAGCACAAAGTTGTGAATTCTCTGCTACTGTGAACTTAAGAAATAGTAATTTATTGATCTATTTATCTTAAAAGATTTTAGATCAATTGAAAGTTGGTCAAAATTGAGATTTATATGGGATAAAGGTTACCAAGTCTAGTTTCAAACGAGTCATGATTTTGAGTTTTTATGACTTAATATATTAATTTAATGTGTGTTACAGAAGTAACTATTCTCTAAAATCATATTTATATATATTGTCACAGGATTAGAATTTCGATTAGTTGATCCGTGTGGTCTTAGATCCTTTCTTGATTGTATGGGTGTCTAAGTAAGTCATCAGCACATCTTTATAAGAACTTAAGCTCGCCGAGCGAACAAATCCTTTAGGGTCAAACTATACGCAGAAATGTAAACACTGTGGCCACAAAAGGAGGCAACAAAATACAAAAAGAATAAGAAACTAAGAAACGCAGATCAGCATGCCCTCTCCTTCACAACACAAGGTCTATAAAGACGTACTAGTACAACTAAAAAGAAATGATTTTTTGATAACAATTGAGAAGTAAACAGATTGCAATTGCAACTACACACATACACAACATAAACAAGTTAAGAGCTATGAAGAAGAAGAAGAAGAAAGGGCTGTTTTCTTCTTGCTGGTGGAGGCCATCTGTTCTTCTTTGGCTTTCCCTGATGTCGATATGAATTTCGAGCTACAAGCGTCCTTAACAACATCACCCTCCCAAACCAAACTTCCCACTACTCTGTTTCTCCTCTGATTTTCTTCAAGAAATGTGCAGTTTCACCCTCAAATGGGAGTTGCCTCAAACGTGGGCATTGAGATACATCAATCTTCAACAGAGAAGAAAAGAACATTGGCCAGCGACAGATGGTTTCCAAACTTCGCAAACGAGTCAAAGAAATTGTCTTCAGCTTGGGGAGTACTTCATCTTCTCCCATCCCCTCCTCGCTTATAACATGTTTCATTGATTCGCAGTCAAGAATCGTAAGGGTCTCGAGGTTTCTAGCATAAGCAAGGCAGTTCAGGTTTGGCAGCAGCAGGCAAACACCTACGTGAACCTGACGGAGGCTGCAAAAGCTACCCCGATTCTGCATTCTGAATTCTTTTAGCGAACAACAACGAAATATCTCGAGTCTCCCTAAATTCGGTAATGAACTTTCGGGACGTAATGATACCAATCCCCTGCAATCCATCATTGTTAATTTTCTGATGCGTGTTCTTAAGGTGCGAGAGGTGAAGATCTTTTGAATAGAGGAGTAAGTAAATAAGGTGATACAAAGCTTATCCAAGTGCTCGAATTCCTCCAACACCTCTAAGAAGTCAAGTTCATCTTCAGCTGAAACCTTGGGTTCATCAAAGTTCTCCGACACCCCATTAATTTTACTATACACCTGCAATAATGATAGGCAAGATAACTCCTCCGGTGGGATCTCTTTAAGATACAATGTGTAATCCAATAACAAACACTTGAGGTTTCTCAAATTCGCAAGGTCGGACGGTAGTTCTTTGATGCCTGTTAGTGACAGATTTAGGTATTGCAGGGTACTCAATCTTCCGATAATCCCGACGTTCCCGTCCTCTCTGTGTCCCCATGTGGTCTCAACCACGGCGTCTAGACCAACGGTGTTCTCCATCGGCCATTCGGACACCTTCTGACGAGGCAGCCTTACACTAATGACTTCGAAATTTCCTTTCTCTGGCAGTTCCTTAACGGTTTATGTGCTGTTCATCACTTTCTTGGCAATCCGGTAGGTCCGGCACACGTTCCTGGGTCAACCACCAAGACAGTTCCTCTCAAGTTCTTGATTTCCTTCATGAATAATCAGTATTGCTTATTTTTGAAAATATGGACCGCAAAATCACACCGTTAGCATTGACAGAAAAGATAAACAATAATTTAGAATGAACAGATTCGTAAATCGTGTCGTGGTAAAATCACTACCTTAAAAACGAATTCGCCCCGATACGTGTAATTGCTATAGTATGCGGACCGTCCCCCGAGGTTAACATGGTCGCTCCGAATTCCGTACACCCGAAACCGGAGTGGATTGCTGGTGGTATTGTACTTCTGATCGAAAAGCACACAGAGAAAATATTTAGAAAACACTTGGAGAGTGAATTCTAAATGTAGAGAGTGAGTTGAGAAGATGAATCCAGCTCTCTATTTATAGGCTATAAATAGGGCTAAAATCGTCCATAAAAAATCAGGATTAAAAACCTTCATTGTAACAGCTGAAACGTCCAGATGAATTTGACTCAGAAATAGTTCAGGTTCATTGCATCATTATTCAGCTGTTATAACTTCTGAAATTAAATCATGTAACTCATGATATTAACAACTTGTCACCTCTGTACAAAGCTGGAAATCAGTCCAGATACATCTTAACGTTTTTTATTTAATTTAGGAAAAAATTGTTTAATTTCTGATAACTCATAAATCAGTAGTCCTCAGCAGCCTAAATATCAATTGAAATCTTTCACATTTTTTCATTTGTTTCTTTCAAAGAGAAATTCCTCAAGAATTTTCTCTAAAAAAATAGTATTCGCACGAACGTGTCGAATATACATATTACCACGATCACAACCACGAGCCGAGCTGAGCCGAGCTGATCTTTCACTCAACAAGGAAGTGAAAAATCCAAACCTTAAATACTCATTCTCAATAGTGTTTCCAATACTATGTGGGATTAAACAACACTTGATCCATGGCAACTTGTATCTCTTCAACCATTCTTCTACTTGTTGTTTAACCACATCCAGAGTAGGGGTGTAAACGAGCCGAGTCGAGCTCGAGTATTGCTGAGCTCGACTCGATTTGAAAACTCTGAATTTGAGCTCGACTCAACTCGAAAACTCGCGAGCTTAAAATTTTCAAGTTCGACTCGAACACGAAATCCTGAATTGAAGCTCGTGAGCAGCTCGAAAAGGCTCGAAATGAAAAAAAAAATTCTTAAATTTAACTCGATTGAAGCCTCAAACTCAAACTCGAACATAAATCTTAAATACATGAAAATCTTACTGTATTTTTAAAAAAAAATCAATACATAAATATTAATATTATTAATAATTTATTTTTTTAAAATAAAATCTTAATATATTATATTTTCTAGTTGCTAACGAGCTTTTCGAGTCGAATATCGAGTAGTTCGTTTCGGCTCGTTAAGAACTCGAGTCGAGTCCATTCGATCCGAGTATTTATCGAGCTTTGATCGAGTCGATCTCGAGTAGCTCGCGATCTGTCTCGTCTCATTTACAATCCTACTCCAGAGGGTTCTTCTCAGCTCTCTTTACTCTTACGATTACCTCATCCCAGAGATCTTTGAGTTCAACCTTTGCAAATACCAAATCCTTAAGCCTTTTAGGAAGGCGTCTCACATGCACTAGGCGCCTGGCACCGCAACCCCACAAACAAGTGACCATGTCCAAGATTGGGCTAACAAAATCCATTTCTCAGTTTACGAAGAGAAAAATGGAAGAAGTGTGGTGGATTATCAAAGAAAAAGTTTAATGAGTTTGGAGTAATTGATGTTTCTCTAATAAGCAAAAGAAAGTTGATGTTTCAGGGACCTTTTATCAGCACTTTGTAAATGATCTAAAGATTTATCTTCTATTTACTGTTAGTGGATTGCACACTGAATTTAGTTTTTCAGATATTTTTTTAATTTAAAAATATTTATTTATTAATGTACGAATCAAACGACTTCAGTGGAGAAGTGATAATTGTTATCTTCAGAGATTATATGCATCAAAACAAATTCGCTTCTAAAACTGTAATTAATACCATTACACGCTATCATTCTGTCTGATTATTTTGTTTAATATTTTTAGTCAACATTAATACCTTGTTTTACAGCAATCTATTTTTTAACACCAACTACGGATAAATAATTATAAATTTATTTTACTTTTTCCAATAATACAATATCATTACCTACCAACATTAAAAGTTACTTACAACTAGGGCAGTGGGCGTTTGGCTTGGTGATTGATTGCCCCTCCTTATGGCGTTCTCAGATTTTTCCAAAATTCTGACCCACTCTTTTCATGAATCACCTTTTGCATTGGCCTTTGATCAAGGACGACTTCCCAACGCTTTTTCACAATTTTCTCCAAAACTGTGTTGATTCAAGGGAAAATGGCATGCACTTCTTATCTTATTTAGCCTTCCAGATTATGGAAGAAGACTGCACAATTCCAGATTATTTGTTTCCCGTGAATACAAAATCTGAATGATTATGTTGGCATTGTCAGGCATTCAACGCCATATACAAATTCGTTCATATAAATATAAAATCTTTTAATTTTATAGGTTTTTTAAGTCGTCGGATGTGTAAAAGTAAATAATTGAGATAAATAGTCTGAAATATAGAATTTTTTTTATCTCAATTACACAAGGATTTGAACTCGAGACCCCTTACTTAAGCGATATCAAGCTGCTTACCGCTTGAGCCGACCCCTATTAATAACATCAAAGCTTTTTTTGTTTGCATGGACAAAAGCTTTATCTATGCTCAAATGCATACTGAATCCCACACAGTACCATGTTATAGACAAAATGTAAGGTTGACGTATAAAGATGGAGCACAGTCCAACTTGGTAGGGGTCAATGGGCGACCAAAAAGACTCATGGCCTAAGGCAGTGACCTACATTGCACTTGGTAGGGGTGCTGCTCTAAGGTCTCCCCCAAGGGGGAGAGACTACATAATTTGTGGCAGCGGGGAGTTGCGTTCGCGCAGTCCCTATTAATCTTCAGTTTTAATTTTTCTTATATATGTATTTAGTAGAATATTACACAGATGAATCGTCTAGGAAACGAATCCCTTGTATTTAAATTACTGGAAGTATGCAGTCTGGAAATAGACGAAAATTATGAAATTCCATTTACTCCATTGATCGGTGAAATACTAATTGCTTGCCGAAATTCTTCGAAGGGAGCCATTCCAGAAATTCTTCAATCCCAAGCAGAATTACATTTTGCAAACTTGTTCAGTGTATAGTTGCAGGTCTCCACCATTTCATCAATATCATTAACTGGAATTAGCGGACTTGTCTTATAATATCCAAAAATGTTCATGGGCAAATTCATCCGCAAACCATGTAAAACTCAAACATTTTGTACATGGCCAGGAGGGTATATAATCTGACCTATTCCAGATCCCATATGGAATGCATAACCGAAGGATATGGCTGAGGTGCAATATAAATGAAATAGTGAACGTCTGCCTTACATGGAGCTTGGGATTTGAGTTACTGAACTTGAGCAAATTTTTTTTGCACTTATCACTTTGTATTTAGAAACAGCTTAGGTTAACTTTCTTGTTCCAAATGAGAAATCATTGAATTACTTTCCTTGGTATCCTCGCTCAGGTGCATGACGTCATGTCACCTATGAGCCGCATCAAGTTCATCATGGTCAGCCATATTCTGGTTCGGCCGTTTGGGTAAGGTGTTTCTTGGTGATTGATCTTGTGTTCCCATTTGTCATACAGGTCAGGCATCGTTTCTCACATCCTCTCGTCCGTTAAGGCTTGCTCGACTATTTCATGTTCCACATATTACTCGTAATTTTATCTCTGTTTCTAAGATAGCACATGAGAATTCTGTTTTCTTTTTAGTTTCATGCTAATAAATGTTTTGTGAAGGATATGGATTCAAGTGACGTCTTGCTAGATGGGTAGCTTGAAGATGGATTGTGCTGTTTCGATCAGCCTTCTACAATCGGTTCTCTTGTCTTTGTATGTCGATGATATTTCCATATTGTTATTGTTATTACTCATTTGCATAACAAGTTTTCACTTAAATATCTTCGACTTGTTCACTATTTTTTTGGTATCGAGGCTCATCATACTTTCACTGATCTTTTTCTTGCTCGGAAGAAATTTGTTCTTGAACTACTTGATAAGAGTATTGTTGTTTTTCCTAAATTAAATAAGCATGATGGCTATAGTCTTGTTTATGTTCGTACCTATGGGAGTATTGTTGGTGACCGTGCCATATATGTTGTCATACTCGACCTGATATTACGTTCTCAATTAATAAAGTCGCACAATTCATACAAAACATTATGGATGTTCATTGGAGTGCTATCTAAAGAATTCTTAGATATCTTAGAGTATGATGAATTATAGTTTGTGATTTTCTTCACACCGAGATACGTCTTATACAATTTTTTTCTTCTTTGATGTCAATTGGGAAAGTGATGCTGATGATCGATGTTCTATTTAAGGATATTGCATTTATCTTGGGTTGTATCTCGTCATGAAGTTCCAAGAAACAGCGTGTTGTGTCTAGGTCTACTATCGGAGTTTGACGGATGCTACATGGAGTTAACGTGGTTCATCTTTATTTGCTCTATCTTGAGTCCTATCGTTTTCTGTACATTTCCAGTTTTTCGATATAAATTTCGCTTTTCGTCCTGTTGTTATTACAAATTTAGAGGCGTTATTGATGAGTGAAACTTTACGGTGATATTAATGACAGGTAAGTGAATGATTTCACAATAAATATACTTTAATTCTAGAAAATGTTTTAAGACTTTTATGGTCTTCTTATATAAAATTAGCCCAAATAATTAAAGATATTCATGTTGTTCATAGGTTCGAATCCTTACATTTATCTTATATAAAATTAGCCCAAATGGTTAAGGATTTTCATGTTGTTCATATGATATTCGTGTTTATTTATATTGTTCATAGGTTTGAATCCTTACATTTATCTTAACTCAAATGGTTAAGGATATTCACGTTGTTCATAGGTTCGAATCCTTGCACTTATCTTAAAAATATAATCTCTTTTTATTTAATAAAAAAATATACAAATTTAGCGTTGTGATTGAGGGGGGACGTATGGATTACACACTAATGATAGGGAAGGTTGCACTTTTTTTTTCTGGACTTTAAAAACATCATAATTGATTATCAAATTGTCCACTGGAACCCAGCGGCACGTTATTCCTGTTTAGGCCTGTAAATGAACTGAACGTTCAGCGAACCGTTCATTGAATCGTGCGGCGGGAAGTTCATTTATATGCGTTTATTTATTAAATGAACGAACATGAACAAGATTTTTTGTTCGTTTAATTAAATGAACGAACATGAATATAGGTCTCGTTCGTTCATTTACGTTCGTGAACGTTCGGTTATGTTCGTTCGGTTATGTTCGTTTATGTTCGTTCGATTATGTTCGTTTATGTTCATTCATTTATGTTTAACCCAATCTTCTTAAATCAATTTTGGTGACCAATTTGTAAGTATCTTAAAAATATTAATTAATATGATATTCTAATGACCAACTCCATAATTAATCCAATTTTATTTGGAGATTAAATCCAATATGTTAACCTGTGAGGCACCTCGCACCTATATTCATTTCCCCCTTTTTTTCCCAAACCCTAGTGTTCACTAGAGAGTGGAGACGATCGCTGAAAGCTTCAAAACAAGTTATATTATAGTGCAATATGAAGTTTTACATGTTTGTTTTCATCTCTTTCTCTGTTTTATTTGGCTTAATAGTTGATATGTAAAGTTATTGCAGGTATCTTCACATCTAAAACTCAAGAAAACATCATACTTCTTTCTAGAAATAGATGGGAATATAAAGGTAACAATCGGAAGTATACGAGCATCAGTAAAGAGAAAAATATATAGAATTTGCCAGAAAACAAAACAAAGGTTTCTATGCAATTTCTGAAAAAGAGTGTAATAGGAGAAAATGATTGTTCATATGTAATCATGGACCACTAAGATAAATGTTATAGCGTTAAATTAAAGTTGTGTGAATCATTTAATATCTTTAAAATATCGATCGAAATATTTGATATCTTCAAACATTTCATCACTGCTAATCAACTCTTACGCTATTTATCACTGTAGATTTGGTTGATTTGCATTGTCGACTATTTTTCATGAAAGAACAATGGAAGGTAGGGTCTCCAACGTTTATGTTCGTGTTTATTTATGTTCGTGTTCGTTTATGTTCGTGTTCGTTTATGTTCGTTTATTTATTAAATGAACGAACATGAACAAAAAAAATTTTGTTCGTTTATGTTCGTGTTCGTTTATGTTCGTCTATTTATTAAATGAACGAACATGAACATACATCCGTTCGTGTACGTTCGATTCGTTTACAAGCCTATTCCTGTTTCAGCACTCATCATGTGCCCATTCATGTAATCCAAATACCACGCAAGTTGCGCAAGTCTGTCCCTTTGTCAACCCTTAATTTATTAACCAGCTATCAAAATTATTAAAATTATATAAATATAGTGAAATACGAGTGGTACTTTAAACCCATGGATCGGCTACCCTGACCATAGTTTTGATTTAGAGGCCAAAATCCTGGTCCAGAGTACACGGTTGAAGTATCAGGGCAGTCCTTTTATGGGCACTGCAGTGGGCCTTCTAAGTAATGATGCACTTTCTGATTTTCCTCATTCTGTGTTTCCCACTCTCTTCGTCCTAATCTCAATTCATTTTCGCTTTCATCAATCACTTCAACCATTGCCCTTTAACGGGGACTACGACATCACTAATTACTTTTCAGTTTTTCTACAAAATTATGCTGACTAAAGGGAAAATGGCATTCATATTCATTATCTATCCTCATATTGGTACTTTTATATAACGGATGATAAAAGTATATTATGCAAATAAAAAATAAGCGCATGTAATATGTCAAAGACACGTAATTGTATAACTATGAGCCCAGTTTTGACGAGGACAACGCATATATATTAGTTTTATATTTAATCACAATAAATTTTTATTTAAAAAATTATATTTAAACATTTAAAATTTCACATATCTAAACAAAACGCGATTTAAAACACCCTACAAACTTTTCAAGTTTCACGTTGTTTTATATGTAAATTCTCAAGTGTTTACAAACAAATATTTATTAATGATTGAATATAAAACTAATATACATGCTTCATCATTTAACCCAACTCATATTACATTTTTAAAAAGCGTATTTAAATTTCAATTGAGGAAATAATTAAAAATGAGTGTCAAAAAATAAGTTTTAAATAGGTGATATTTGAATAAAAAGATTCATCAAAACTCGTATCTACATATTTCTTACTTACATTGTTATGTAAATTTTGAATTTTGATATTTAAATTATTCACAACTCTAAATAGCAACTCGATTGAACATGACCCGAGTATTGGTCTGCAGGTTCCATTCTTGTCCACGTGTAATTTTTTAGATTCAACACATAAGCAATGTAGGGCTCACCGAAGCATGGGGAACCAATCACCATTAAGTTGTCTTCCCAAGTGGCTACATGAACTGTATTGCACACGTCGGCTGGCAGCTCAGCTACTGCTTTCCACGTATTATCTTCGAGTTTTACGACGTCAGCTCTTTGACACATGTACAATGCTCCTTCGGCTGCCACGCAAGTTCTGGGGCACATGGCATGGCATAAGAGGTTTTCTTGCACCTGGGTCCACTGCCATGTGGCAACGTCAAATAGCTCGGCACTACTCTCGAAACGGCCTTGCCTATCTGTACAATATCCGCCGATGACGTGGAACTTTCCGAGGTGGAAGATGCCCTTGCACTCGTCACGCTCTTTTTCCATAGCGGGCAATGAGACCCACGTATTAGAACCCACATCATACGCCATTGCCGATCTCAATGCGTTTTTCTCCCCGTCGTGTCCGCCGGCAACGAACACCGTCCGTTCCGAGTCCGACGCGCATCCGAAGAAGATCCTCTTCACGCCCGGCATGTCGGCCCCACACCGCCAAGTTGCTGACAGAAAATTATAAACATACACCTCGTTGCGGACATCAAAAGTGTCTGGATCCAACCCACCCATCACCACAAGGTTCAACCCGACTCCAACGACTTGACAAAACCGGCAACCCATCGGAACACCCCGGAACCGGTGGCAGCTCGCACCAGTCACCGACATCGGGCTCGAAAACCACGATCCGGTAGACAGGCATGGCATGGCATTTCAGACCCGAATTTCTATCCGGGTTAACTCGGGATTGAGTCATGATCATCACATGTTTACTACAACCAGCGGCTCTCCGATGACGGAAAAATTCAGGCAAATGAATTTCAAGCTTCCAATCCTTACAGGTGGATGCAATACTGGAGAAGTTATTGTACGGGACACGAACTAAACATTCACGGGCAATATCATTAGGAAGACCAGGTATAAGCTCCATGAAAAACCTTTCTTTGAAGAAAAGAAAAGCTGGGTTTTTTTTTAGGATTTTGATGAGAAAATTAGAAAAGAAGATTTGGATTAGAGAGAGTGAAGGTTGAGATATTATTATAGGAAAGTGGATGAGTTGGAGCTGAAGAAGACAATGGGAGACCATTGGATCATTGGCCGTTAGTCGGTTATGCCCCTTTTAGTACCGCTGTTTTCCCTTCTTTTTCCCCCTTTTTTTTCTTTTGTTTTGTTCGAGTATGTCACTGTTTCCAAAGTTTATCTTTAATTTCAAATGTAAAGTTAAAGTAGTATTCTATATGGGTTTCGATGGATTCTCCTGCTGTGGTATTGCTTATTAACTAGCTACATATGGGGATGTTGTTGCCTTGGTATTGCTTTTTTTAACTAGCATATATATATATATATATATATATATATATATATATATATATATGGGGTTTTTTACCATAAAAATACCCTCAAAATAATTATTTATCTATTTAGAATCTTTAACAAATTATTTATTGAAACGGAGCGCTTCTATTGATCAGATATATGATGTAGGATAAAGGAGCATCATGTCAAATACATTTTTTTAAAACACATCTAAGAAGGTGTGTTTGTGCCCAATGTGAAACCCAAGATTAGTAAATTTAATATTTTCAGGGTTGAGTACACAAATGATTCACCGACTATAGGGTACTGTTTTATTAAATTTTTCGACTATTAAAAGTTATAAAATGATCATTCAATTATAGAGTGTTGTTTTGTTGAGTTTTTCGACGATTAAAAGTTACAAAATGATTATCCAACTATTTATTATATTCCGTAATCATCTTTTTTTGGTTAAAAGTGGACGGTATTTTGATTGAACAATAACTTGTTGACTGTAACATAATAAAATTTGATCCCAGAAACTCAAACGACTATCATAACTCAATCATTATATTAACATTATGCTTAAATAATTATCAATTTTTTTAACAGAAAATAATGAGTTTGGAACATAATGAATAGCCGGGGTGATCATTTTGTAACTTTTACAAAATAATATTCTATAATTAGATGACTATTTTGTAACTTTTAATAATCGAATAACTTAATAAAGCAATATGGAAATGAAACGACGCAATTGATGAAGAACGTCTTAAAAGAATTTTCATAGATTGTAATTTTAAGTTTGTATCTTTGTCCCTTGTTTCCAAGTCAAAATTTAGATCAGATTTTAAACTCAAACCACACAGTACTAGGCAAAACTACGGTGCAAGTATTATTTATCTTTGAAAAAGTGAAAGCACCTCTGTTGAAATATGTTTTCGTTGCAGTTTAGCCTCCACTATTTTATGCTTTTTGAAATAGTTTTATTTTCTCGGTATCAAACGCGCAAATGATTCTCTGGAAATATAAAGCACATTTGACCATAAGTACTTGTATTTTTTTCATAATCATCTTTGATAATTTTGGGTTGGATTTGAAATTTGGTAGTTTGGTGTTTATAAGAGGAAGAGTAGTGTTGGACAAAAAGAAAACATTTTTTTGTGTAGTCTTGTCTAATCATTTTATTGGAAGGTTCGAATCAAGGTATACCGCTATCATATATGGGTAGATATTCATTAATAAATGCCTTTGATCTGAACTAATGAATGCTAATAAATCTGACATATAACATGTACATTGAGATGACATCTTTTTCCACAGGGGAGGCATTGTTGCATAAGTGCATTTCATGTCAATGTTGGAGTAGGGTTGTTATTATAACAAAATAACTTACAAAGCCGACTTTGGATGCTATTAAAGATGACAACGATGACGCAGAGAATTGAGTTTGAGGATGAATCCGAGGGTTTGAGGATTGGAGATTATGACTTGGGGTTTAGGATTAGATTCTAAAATTATAATATTTTTTAATCTAAATCTTATACGATATAAATATTAATAAAATAATTCATATCATAGTAAAATGTTAATAAAATAAGACACGGCGTCACATATTTTATGATTTAACGTGGAGTGGCTAAAATAAAGTGAATTTAAAATCTGAGCGATTAAATTCAAAAAACTTAAACTTCAATAACTGAGTTAAGAGTGAGAAGAAAATTAAGTATGAAATTTGTGATTTACCATTTTTAGGGTTTTTAAGTCAATGCCAAGTCACGTAACACACAAGCGTTATGTCACTTTTGTGATCCACTGGCACATAAAAATATAATTTTCATATTTAAAAACAGTGGAATTAAAAATTTTAAAATTATCAATACGAAGAAAATTAGTCCATTTTTAAAATATAAAATAAAATCGATTATTTTATCCCCCACCCTTTAAAGATGCATATAATTTAAAGCTACATCATTCATTGAACTCTAATATTGCATATTTAAATGACTTGGACACTAGTTTTCTTCCTCTCCTCTCTTTTCTCTATTTTTCTTATTTATAATTTGTGTCAATTTTATTGATCAATCTAATTTTTTATTCTTTAATTTTGTTTAACCGACGACAACATCGATTTTAATGTTAGTTGTCGTCTGCCGGTTATTCTTTTTCTTTGTTTTTTTTAATAAGAATAAGTATGTCTTTGTGACATGTTCTCTACTTTTATAACACGTTTATCTTTGCCTTTGTGTAATGTTTTTCTCTGTCTTTTGGTAGCTTACGATTTTTTACCGTTGTTTTTGTTTATCTTTTTTCTCAGGGTTGGATTTGACATCGTCACGACTGATCAAGATGACGCTTATTTGTTATCATGATGATCTTCTCTGCTTTGGACCCTCAGATTTATTTGGATACACGTTTTGTGTTCGTGGATAGTTTTCTCACATCGCTTGACTCTGATTTGTGATTTGCCTGTGGTCTTTCAGTAGCTTCATCCCCTTTTGTGATTCGTTTACCGATGCAATCATATTTGTTTATATCTTTATTTTATTTTAGTTTTCTTGTTAGACTTTTTAACATTTTACTTCTTTGCTCTTTATGTGATCTATTTAGTTAATTTTTATCTCAATGATAATAGAAAAACGTCAAAATTATATTTTAAATTTACGATTATGCTTGTAAATATTCATTATATATTTTAATTTTATAAAAAAAATCACTTGGACACTACGGTTAGTTTCTTTCCTTGTTTGTTGTTTGTTAATTAATTATTCAATAAAAGTTTTCGGCATTCATTGATTTCTATAGGCTAAAACTCTTCTTTGGATCCAGTTAGTCAAAAAGTAATCCATGACTTAAATAGACAAAAACTTTTTTATATTTTTTTCTAATTTTTTTATATAATTTATATATGTTTATTTTCTGTGATCTTCTTTTGCACTCGTCTTTATTCTCAATAATAACTTTAACATTTATAAAAAAATAATATATATTATAAAAATATTCAATTATTACGCTTAATATGATATTGTATTAATAATATATTAAAAAATGCAATAAGTATATTGGTTTAGAAGGTTCTATAAAAGAAAGGAAAGTAGATGTGCAATCCAACTCATATTAGTTGGAAACACATGCAATAACTGATGAATGTCTTAGAGATGACGTAAGGTAAGGGATAAACATCACTTAAATGGTCAATAATTTGGCTCTTCTATTGTCCCAAAAGTCTACTTGTCCAAAATTTAATTATTTATTTTATATTTTTATTATAATTTGTTCTTGTCCTAAAATCTCTAGATTTATTTTCACAAAATTTTATAAATTCGTTTTTTAATATAAAATTTTATACTCATTCGTGATGGTGACATTTTATATTAATATGCAATTTTATTTTCTTTCATGATATGATTAGGACGTGGGAGTACCATACAATTTCATTTGGGATTTAATTCCCTTAAACTATTTTAAAGATGCGTTTCTTATACTCCTTCGAATTTAGTGCATTTGAAATTTTATTCTCTCGTTACAATAATAAAACTTGTACCTCACGCAATTTGATTATATTTTTTTATAATTTTTAATTAAAACTCATATAAAATATTATTTTATTTTATTTTGATAAAAGAAATTAGTGTCAAAATTATTTTGTAGAGTAAAAGGAACATTATATATTTTAATCAACAAATATTTTTTTAAAAGGTAAGTACCGTACGATTTTATTAGCTAGAAGTAATCATATAGCTTTGACACAAAATCAGTAAAAGATTCAAAAGGGTGTGATCCCTTTGATTTTTTTTTTAAATTTGAAGATTAATTAGATAAAAAATATATTTTTGATTTTATATTTAAATATTTAATAAATTATTATTTTTATGTAAAAAATTAATATTTTCTAATATTTTACCTTAACTCTATCTTCGAATACAATGAATAACATTATAAAAAATATTATTAAGAAAAATAATTAAAAAATTGAACATAAAATATAAAATTAAATTAAATTAAAATTATATATTATCGGTGGCATTATAAGTTTTTTTTGAACAATGAAAACAGTTGTTTGTGTTCAAACACGAAATATCTGGAGATTGTTGGGACCGTCATCGCATCCCATGTCGCAGTGGAAACAAAACTCGACGGTCTCACCAGCGATTCAAGTACGAAAAACTGAAATTGGGAGGAGAAGATGCGAAAACTTACACTGGGTTCCTTGAAAAACAACAAGGACAACAGTGAATACTGGTTGTGTAGATCGGTTCGAATCTTAAGCCTCCACGAAATCACGTCTCGGCCTCTACTCAGTTCACCCGATTGAGAGCAATCTTTGTTTTCCCCAAAACTATTTTGAGAGAAAACAGCTGAAGGTTTTGAGTGTGTGTTGTACAATGGCTGCTAGACCACACACCCTTTTATAGTCAAGTTACCCTAATCATATTAGGGTTTTATTATTTCAAATTAATTAAATCTATATTTAATTAATTAGAATTTAATAATCCTCTTATATTCAAGTCACCCTAATCATATTAGGGATTTTATTATTTCAAATTAATTAAATCTATATTTAATTAATTGAAATTAAATATTCAGGATTATTAAAACATATATTTAATTAACTCTAGATATATATTTTAGTAACGTACAACAATTGTACATCTTTGCTCGTTTCAATCCTAGGGTGTGACCTTGTAGGTTC